GTCTATACCTTTTTAATTTACATGTGGAGGTTTTAGGCAGTTAGTAATTAAATTCAATTTATTGTTTGATAGTGCCCTGTAATGTGAAGGTGGGGAGCTGTGGGTAATGGACCTGCCTTCATCTCATTCACCCCATGGCAAGTGTTTTGAACCTGAGTTCATGCCTATCAGTAACTTCTACCATCTTCAGGTGTACATATATTACAGACATAAACAATTGTGTGATATGAGGGAATTTCCTTTATGGTTTCTCTTTGACAAAGGCCCAAAATTGAGAAATACTGCCAAGGTGGTTTGGAGAAAGAAGTAGAGGGGTGAAAAGCTGGTTTGAGGGCCCACCATGGAATGTGCCCTGTCCAGGGTGAGGTGCAGGGTTTGTGACATTTACTGCACCCTCAGGTTTACTGAGAAGTGAGCACTGACTTGGAGAGGTGTGTTGTCTTATTTGCCAATGAATCCTTGGTAGTCTTCCTTCAGAAGGCCCTCTCCTGGTCTAAACTTTAAGCTGTGTGTCCCTCTACTTCTTTCTTGTTTTTCTTAAGATCAGAGTGGAGGATGTGGTCAGTAAGCCTTTTAATATAAGCTATATATACTCAAAGTACCAGTTTTTTCTTCTACCTATTTTCCAATTATTTAAGTGCTTTAAAAAATATAGAAGGTCGGGCATGGTGGCACATGCCTTTAATCCCAGCACTTGGGAGGCAGAGGCAAGTGGATTTCTGAGAGTTCGAGGCCAACCTGGTCTCCATAGCGAATCCAGGCCAGCTGAGGCTACAGGGAGACTCTGTCTCAAAAAGACCAAAAAAAAAAGAAACTAGAACCAGGTGTGATGGTGCAGCACGAGGGAGGCAGAGGCAGGTGAATCTCTGAGATCAAGGCTGGCCTGGTCACATAGTGACTTCTAGGCCAGCCCGGGGCTGTGGGGAGATCCAGTCTCAAAAAAACCAACAAAACAAGCAAGCAAACTCTTTCTCTCTCTCTCTCTCTCTCTCTCTCTCTCTCTCTCTTTCTCTCTCTCTCTCAATATATAATTAATTTATATACTAATAACAAATTAATTTCTACAAATACTACAATGAACATTTATGTGGAAATTTCTCTAGAATTCAGGATTAATATTTTGTTATTCCTTAATTTCTTTCTTCTTCACACACAGGAATAAGTGGTGCTATAGCTTGTAAGGATGCAGAATTTTCTGGGAAACTGTTTGTTCTTGTCATGAATGGAAACAAGTGAAAGATTTCCATGCTTTGGTTAATGGGACAGACGATCTTTTAACACTATAACAATATAGAAAGAATTGTTTATACTTTGATTGCTCAACTTTTTTTTTTTTTTTTTGGTCTTTTTGAGACAGGGTCTCCCTGTAGCCCCAGCTGGCCTGGAACTCACAGAGATATGCCTACCTCTGCCTCCCAAGTGCTGGGATTAAAAGCATGTGCCACCACACCTAGCTAGCCAACTCTTAAGTAAAAGATTTAATAAGGTATGTTTCAAAGTCCTGAGCGCATGCAGTTTCTCCATTACAAAGATGACAAGAATTGGGTAGATGAATTGATTCTGAAAAGTAGAAGCAGGAGGATTATGATGGTTAGTTAAGGCCATCTGCACCCGACCCCTTATTGTCTACTGTACCTTTGAGGATTGGCATGTCTTAAGATTTACCTTTTCTTACTCTTTCCCCAAATGCTTGCTGTCACAGCCCTTCTGTTACAGCTACATATATGATGCAACTCTATCAGTGAGGAAGTGAGAGCCCTGGCGAGGGACAGGTAGGGAACAGAAATGAGTCCATTACTGATTTGATGAGCTGTGCCAGGTATCATGGGAAAATTATTCCAGAGTTAGTGACTGATCCTGCTCTCTCTGAACATTTTTCTTTTAGTATTTTTACTATTATGAAAACTTTAGCCATCATTAGATGATTATAACTGACAAATAGATATTGTCTAAAAGAAAAAAGGTAAACTCATTGATCTGTTTTATTTTATATCCTTGAACGTTTCACTATCTGTAGGATTTCTAGTTTAATTATGAAAATACCTTTTCCTCTGTCCAGGAATGAATAGCATATTTTGATAGATAGGTCATGGCAATGTAAACACATTTAAAAACTGAAGTACTCACTCTGTACAAAACAGTTAAGACTCCAGGTGTCTGACAGTGGCTCACTTTCAAAAAGCATATTCTTCTTGGGGGGAAGGTGTAGAAAGATAAAATATTTATTATTCTGGCCATCAGTCATCCAATATGAATTTAAAAGAAGAAAGCCAGAATGAAGGGAAATTGAAGGTAAGGCTTTAGGGGAGTGATTCTGCAACATCTGAAAACAATGAGAGTAGTGTACCATGGACACCTGGGCCATGCATCATGGGTTCTCCAGCATTGCATTCTGTGACACATAATAAGTGCTGTTAACATGTGAGCCTGAAGTTCCCCAGCTAATGTATCATAGACGTGAGCGCAGCAAATGGGAACTAAAAGATAGCAAGCTTGGAACATAATTTTCTTCGTTTTATGTTGTAGGGATCTAGGGAGAAACTTACTGTGCAACATATACATGAAATTCATAGCAATTAGTGTATGGCTGAGGCAGAACTGGCAGAAAACCTCCAAATGACGTATTAGATAAAGAAGAGTTTGTTTGCCTTTGGTTTCCTCTGTCCTTCATCTCTCACAGTTACGGAGGCCATCCAGGCCTGCTGTGGCAGCTCCACAGTCCTTGGAGACCCAGGCTTACCTTGCTCTCCCATTTTCATCCTGTTTCTGTCTTGTGTGTAAAATGTGTACTCTAGCACCAGCTGCCACATCCGAATTCCAGCTTAGGTAGAGTAACCAGAGTCCTATTTTTCTAGTTATGTTCTTTTTTATTTCAGTGTGCTTACACACATGCATATATACAAATACCTTCTTTAGAAAGAAAAACCTTACCTGACTTCATACATGTAGTGTCGTCTTTTTGATCAGTATTTTTTGTAAGTCCTCTGTTTCTTGTTTTTGCTTTTCCAAAATGTGTTCTCTCTCTCTCTCTCTCTCTCTCTCTCTCTCTCCTTCCTTCCCCTCCTTCTTCCTTTCTTTCCTCTCTTCTTTCCTCTTTCCTTCCTTCCTTTCTCCTCTATTTTATTCTCCTCTCTTTCTCTTGGTCTCAGTGTGATACCTTCCTTGGCTGTCTGTTGGTATAAAGAGTGGGAATTAGAAAATGTACATGAGTGTGTTTGTGTAAAGGTGGGGACAGGGTAGGTGTGGTACAGTTATTGCCGCAGGGCTGAGTGAGTGAATGAGAATCTATATTAATGGAGAACCACCGGATATCAGTATGTATAGCTATTCAATTTTCAGAGAACGCCATCCTCCAGACTAGCTGTTGAAGTTATCAGCTGTGACTGTGTCAGAGATGGAGGTATGGACATAGGAAAGGGGGAATAGTATATATTTGATGATTATCCCTTTGAGCTGGAGAAGGAAAGTGGGAAAGGAGGACAGCAGGCTCACCACTAATCAGAGAGTCCTTCAGGCTTAATCTTGCTGGTTGGGGTACATTCTTTCATCCTTGCCCTTGCTATGCTTGGAGTCCAGGATCTGTATCCTCTCCGGTTGGTCCCTGCAGAGAAGTGCTGCCTTCCTTCATTATGGGCAGGTAGTTGCTTGAGTATGTGATTTGGTAACTACTTGTGTCTTACATAAGCCTTCCATGAGACCTGCTTTTCTCCCCACCACACACTTCCACTGCTCACCTGTATCTGGTAGCTCTGGATGCCCAGCCTTCTGGAGTACATACAGCAGTGCTTGTTGCCTGCTTCTCAGTGCCCCTCTTCCCCACCAGCCACCTTTGCAGGCTCACATTGCTGCTCTCTCTGTCTTCTGACTCCATTGTAGTATGCCTGTCCCCTTCCCAGCTTCTAAGATTTTGTCAAAAAATTCTTGTCTGTTGAAGTTCTCATTGCTCTTGTGAAGCTTCACTTCTTAACGTTCTAGTATGCCTGTCCCCTTCCCAGCTTCTAAGATTTTGTCAAAAAATTCTTGTCTGTTGAAGTTCTCATTGCTCTTGTGAAGCTTCACTTCTTAACGTTCTTTATTGTTCTTTACTGGGATTTTGGAAAAGAACAGAGATGAATATTTGTATCCAACCTGCCAGGTTTAATGAGAAACAAGATTATTTATTACATGAAATAAATGTTAACTTTTCATATGTATTTATTGGTATTTGGTATTTGCCACTCCTTAGATTGTTAGCATTGAAGGAGTGTAAAAATAGATTTCCAGCCGGGCGTGGTAGCGCACGCCTTTAATCCCAGCACTTGGGAAGCAGAGGCAAGTGGATCTCTGTGAGCTCAAGGCCAGCCTGGTCTACATAGTGAGTTCCAGGACAGCTGGGGCTACAGGGAGACCCTGTCTCAAAAAGACCAAAACAAAATAAAATAAAATAGATTTCCAATTCTCAGGAAGTTTGCCATTCAGTTAAGGAAACAAAATAAGTAGCCAAAGACAAAATCCCAGCATGGACATGGGGAAATGGGTAAGAAACTCCAACCCTACCTAAGGAAATTTTGGCAACTGCTTGCTGCTGGGAGGGGGAGAGACAGCGTCTTTCAAGGATGGTCTCCAGTAAATTGGCCCACACTGATGGACATTGGGGATACAAATTAGACTCTATAGACCTTAATGTAACACACACACACACACACACACGTATGTAATAGAGTACATTAAATGAGAGGGGGCAATTAGGAGAGGTGGGGGTAGAGGAGGGATCTAAATATCAAATTATATGATATGAAAATTACAAAAATTCAATTTAAAGATTCAGAAAAAAAGATCTCGTCAAAGAACGATGAGAGGCAGCATATGAGTAGCTGTGACAGTGGGTGACACGGGTTAGTCGGCAGCATGGTCTGAACCAACTTGTTATTTGTTTACTTATTCATATTTGTTTGCTTGTTAATTTGTTATTATTATTACAACAAAAATCCCCCCTCCCACAAATACCTTCTTTACCAAATCCAATGTGGTGGTAAATGATTATGGGTCTGATGAACGTGATAATATGGCTTTCGTTAATGTTTGGTTGTCAAGGAACAATAGGTATATCCTGCAATTCTGGCCAATGAGACTTGACAGAAAGGCTAATGGGGCTATGGACACTTCTAGAAAGATTTTACTATTGTTATTAAGATATTCACAGAGGGAAACTTTGTTGGTCCTGTTGTATCTCAACTATTACCTAGCCCATTGCATCTGTTAGGGGACAAATCTGAGACAAAACCTCCTTATTGGAAGTGGTAAAACAAAGGTAGTTTTCATTTGCTAAGTGTTATGTTACAGGTTTTTGTATGTCGTGGCACTTAGTCTCACCATAGCTTTTTAAGTTAGGTATTACTTTTGTTCTGTTTTATTTTTTTTAACATTTATTTATTTGTGTATATGTATATGGACAAGCATACTTGATGTGTGTGTGGAGGTCAGAGGACAACTTTTGGGAGTCAGTTCTTCCCTACACTGTGTAGGTCCTAGGAATCAATCTCAAATCTTCAGGTTCAGGGGTAAGCACCTTTACCTGCTGAGCCATCTCACTGGCCCTTGTTTTTTTGAGACAAGGTCTCACTATGTAGCCCCAGCTGGCCTTGACCTCCCAATCTTCCTTTCTTAGTCTACCAAATGCTTAGATTATAGGCATGTATAACGACACTTCACTCTGTCTCCTATGATATTCATTTTTAGGTAGAGAAGTACTGAGAATGGTTCAGTTATATGCTTGGAGGTTGCTGTGTTAGTAAATTATTAAACTTAGAATGTGATTGAGAGTGTAAGAAAGTGTAATGAATGAATGAGTATCTGTATGCATGTAGAGAGCCTAACAGCAACTCAGTCATTTTAGAAGCCATTCTATATTGCTGACTCTTTTCATTGAATTTGTAATAATCTAAATAAAAGCCATGGGATTTTTTTCTCCTAGGCACTTGAAGCTACTGAGCAAGATAATGCTTGTTACAATCACTCTTTTCACCTTAAGTGCTGGGCTGCATATTTATCATTATTGTAATTGTTCTTATCATGTGCAGTTGTGATCTTTTGTCTGTGTTAATTATTCTATTTTATGTTATCTTTAATTTGATAATCATGCATTCTTTGTTTTGAAGTCATTGATGAAAATGCTAGAAGAAAGGCAAGGCCCCTAGTACACTGTCTCCATTGCCCCAAGTTCTCACAAATCATCTCTCTAATAATCTAGTAAAAATTTCTCCTAAGATTTATATTAAGATTTATAGCCTGTGTCTTCTAAACATATATTTTTTGTGAAAATTAGGTGAATATTTGCAAACATTACCATTTTTTCCAGTTCTTCATAAATCAACAGAAGTGTTGGCAAAGTTTCTTGGTTTGCTTGGATGTCATTTTCCTAGGCGTGTTGATGTAACTCATCTGAAGTGTGTAGGCTTACTCTTTCCATTTTTCTTTTCCTTTGGGGAGGGTGGAGGGCATGTGCCGAGGCTAGAACTTAGGACTGCTTAGATGTTAGGCAAGTACTGCAGCATATAGCCTCTAGTTTTTGTTTTTGAGACAGTGTCTTAGTATGTTCCCCAAACTGGTCCCAAACTGGTCTGGCCTCAGCTGCTAGATTAACTGTGACTGCAGGCATCACACCCAGCTTCATTTCCCCCTTAATGATTTTAATAGAGACTTTCCTATTTTGAAGATGGTTTTCTTAAGTAAGAGTAGAGAAAATATAGCGTTGAATACTTTTACTTTCTTACATCTATTAACCACATGCTCCTCACCATTTGTCACCATTCAAACATTGATATTGTTCAAATCCCAGCTCAGTTACTTCCTGTGGAGTGTGCTCTGACTGATGCTATGACCTCAGACATAAATAACCATCTTAACACAGCGCTATGCAGCAACCTTAACGTTTACAGATTTAACATCCATAGTGAAATTATAATTTCATAATATTATAATGAGGATTAATATTTTTATATAATGGGGCTAGAGAGATGGCTCAGTGGATAAAGCACTTAACCACACAAGCACAAGGACTGGAATTCAGATCCCTAGAACCCACCTAAAAGCCAGGAAGGTATGACGGCCTGCTTGTAATCCCAGCACTAGGGGAACAGAGATGGGATCTGGGAATAGACAAATCAGCAAGCTTTAGGTTCAGCAAGAGTCTCTGCCCCAGTAAATAAAGTGGTAAGTAATTAAGGACAGCTGGCATCAATATCTGACCTCTATACACATATATACATATATGTATGCAAATGGGCAAATATACAAGCACCACATACCCCATCCTCCTCCCATAAAGATATTATATGAAAAGTTCCTACATGTGCAAGGTGGACACTTGGAAGTGGATTATGTAATAAGTGAATTAATGTACCCAGGCAGTCAGCATAGGCACTTCTAGCCAATAATTTCAAATATATTAGATTCAGAACTTCCCCGCAATATTTCCTATGTGTTTTGTCCTTGCTTTTGTATTTTTAACATTTGGTAGGCAAGATGATGCAGATTATTCTTATCTATTCTTTGGGGTAGATATTATCTTCATTATATGAGTAATCCTTACTTTATGACCCTCAGCGATTAGACCATCTGCTAATGTGTAACTTTTCTGCAGGTTGATATTTTCTGTGTAGTCAGTCAGACCACCTGTGAAGACAATTTTATTTCTTCCTTTCCAATCTTTGCCTTCCCTCCCTTTTCTTTCTGTCCCCCACCCTCCCTCCTTCTCTCCCTTTATTTCTTTGTTTTTCCTTTGTTTTACCTTGGTGCTTGACTAGATTTTCTGGTGTGGTATTGCCTAAGACTGTTGAGATCAGATCTTTACCCTTTGTAATATTAGAAACTGGTCCTTCACCACTAAGTATTATGTAATTTGATTTTTAGTAGCTACCTCATAGTTCAGAGTATGCATCTTTAGCATCAAGTAATGGCCGTAATATCACTTTACATGTATTATAGTAACTTTGTAACAGTGCGTTTTACATTTCTTCTCTCAGGACCTTTGTACTATTGTTATACATTTTGCATCTATATTTATTATCAACTCCATAATGCATTGATGTTATTTTGCTTTGAATACCATTATCTTTTAAGGAGATTATATTTTTTACTATATTTAAATAGCATTAATTAATTAATTGCGTGTGTGTGTGTACACATGCCATGGTGTGCATGTGGAAGTCAGAGAACAATTTGCATGAGTCATTTTTCTCCTTTCAACATGTGGGTTCTCAGGATGGAAGTCGAGTCATCAGATTTGGCACCTTTATTTGCTGAACCATCTTGCCAGCCTGAGATTTTAGAAATAATAAAATTTAATACTTAACTGTATATTTACAATTTTCAGTACTTTTCATTTCTTTGGATAGAATCAGATTTTTGCCATGTACCATAGTTCCATGTTCTTTAAATCCTTCAGCATTTCTTAGAGCATCTTTGCACTAGTGATGAATTCCATCAGTTCTGTCTTTGTCTTGCCTGTACTTCTCTGAGTGAAGACTTCTAGGATGAATTGTGTGTTGTTTTCTGTTACTGGCATGATGGCCCATTGTCTTTTGTCTTGTGTTGTTTTGCGGGGACTTCTATCATTCTTGTCTTTGTTCCTTGGCACTTCAAACACCTTTTTTTTCTGCCTGTTTTTAAGATTTTTTACTTTTTTAAATTTAGATTTTATTGTTTAATATTTAATATCACTATTGATACATGTTTGAAATTCTGCACACATGGTGAGACTCTGTAAGAAGCACTGTTCTTTTTCTCAACTTCTTTTACATTTTTATTCTTTATATTTTCCATCTCCGGAGAGTTTGTAGATAGACAAAAACTTTATTTTGGTTAAATAATAAAAAGGTAGCCTGAACTGATAATCTTTGTTGTTGTTTTTAAAATTATTTCTAGAATTTTTAATGGAATATTAAAAGCTTATTTATATGTCTATGGAAAGGTAACTACCACTACAAAAATCATTTGTGAGGCAGAGGTGTGCAGCTCTCTGGGAGTCTTGAGCCCTGGTGATACCCTATCTCAAAAAAACAAAAAAATCAGGGCTGGAGAGATAGCTGAGAAGTTAAGAGCACTGGCTGCTCTTCCAGAGGATCTGGGTTCAATTCCCAGCATCCACGTGGTGACTAACAACTGTCTGTAACTCCAGTTCCAGAGGATCTGACACCCTCTTCTGTCTTCTGTGAGCAGTGCATAAAATGGGTGCATTTACACATACATGGAGGCAATACACTCACACACATAAAATAATAAAATATTTTTTTAAAAAGTCACTAATTCCCTTTGTTGGCATGTTTGAGAGGGCAATTAAAGATTTTTGTGGTAATTGGATATGGTCTTGTGATGAAAAAGTCAACATCTTCTCTTTTTTACAGTATCAACGATGCAGAATCTGGGACAAGTTGCACGAAGAGCACATCAACGCAGGGCGCACTGTTCAGGTAAGGCTATTGTTTCTGGTAAGTCAACAGGAAAAAGACAGTCTTAAGAAAATTTAGCCAAAATAAAACGGGTTGATAATCCTTTGTCTAAAATGCTCATGTCCAGAAATGTTTGAGGTGTAAACTAGGTTCATTCATGTTTCATACCTGCCTTGTACACATAGCCTGAGGCAGTGATAGTGTTCTCAGTGTTACCTGGGTTGTGACTGTACTGTCACATGAGGTCAGATGTGGATTTTCTACTTGTGGCATCATGTTGGTTTAGGAAGTTAGAGGAACATTTAGAGATTGTGGCTTTGGGTTAGGGGTACTCAGCATATTTCTTTTTTTAAAGTATTTTATTTATTATTTTTATTTTATGTGTATGAGTGTATTGCCTGCATGTGTGTAAGTGAACCCGTGTCATGCAATGCTCCCAGAGGTCAGAGGAGGGTGTCAGATTCCTCTGAAGCTAGAGTTATGGATAGTTGTTAGCCCCCATGTGGGTGCTGGAAACTGAACCTGGATCCTCTGCAAGATCAGTAAATGCTCTTAACAGCTGAGCCATTGCTGTAGCCCCAATTCTAATTATTTTAAACTGACTTTTTTTTTAAATTCAGTTTTGTATATTGTGCAATTTTACTTGGTACAGCAGATAGAAATTTTTTTTTTAATTAAAAGAAGCATTTCATTACAACAGCATTAACCTATTCAATAACATTTTTCTGAGCTAGGGTACATCTCTTTCAAAATAGGCTGTACATTTCTAGGTTTACATTTCTAGGTTTACGCTTATATAATCTTTTACTCATTATAAACTCTATAAGACATAAAATTAAATGAGGTTCCAACGTTTAAAAAAAAAGTAAATGAGTTTCCAACGTTTAAAAAAGATCTCCACTGCGTTGTCAAAACACACAGTTTCATACAGAAAAATTCATTCCAGGGCTCTTGACATTGAGACATTTTCACATGCATTTCTAATCTCTATATACATGACTATCACTGGTCACAGTCACCCACCTTCTGAGCTCCTCGGCATCTGAGCATGAATACAAACTTGTCAGGTAAACTGACTTTTAAAAATAGCATTTTGGGACCAGTGAGATGACATGAAAGAGTGGGTAAAGGCACATGCCATCAAGCCTGACAACCTGAGTTTGATTCCTGGGACCCACTGACTCCTCTAAGTTGTCCTCCAGTGGACCCCACATGCATACTGTGTCATGCATGTGGGCATACCCACACTAACAAATGCTACTGTTCTCTACTTCCAAGACCTACTTGGAAGAAACCATCACCAGTCCTTTTGGCTACTTTTCCGGTATTTACCTAGTTATTACTAAATATCTTGTATAGATGGGTATTTCCTGCTTAATCTGGTTTAGGTGTTATCTGCATTCCTGACATAGTGGGTGGAGCTCTACCTTTCCACTTTGTTCTCCTACTCCCTTCTTCTGTATAATTACATATACACAGTCTCTGGTTCAATTAGTACTCAGTATCTCATTATTTTGATTATAAGGGCATTATTTTCTGTCAAGCCAAATAGTGAAGTACAGTTCAGCCCTTTACTTTTTTTTTTAATAACAGCCTTATTTTTAATTACTTGGCTTTCTGTGTATTTGTGGCTAATTTTGCTAAAATGCTCCATGTGCCTGTCACATGCTGCCAATATTATTTTTTCATGTGCTCAGATAGATCAGCTCTACTCTTAATTTTGAAAGCTCCCTCCCTCAGCCCTTGGTTGAGTCCCAGAGTGGACTCCCTCTGGAGGCTCACTGCTCTGGAATTTACCTCTGTTTCAGCTCCGTTTACCTGGATATCTGGTTTTCCTCATTTTTTATTTACTCTACTGTTTTGTTAGAGGAACTCTTTAGCACCCAGGGATAAAGGTTTAGTACATTTGAAATCCTCTCTTGGGATTTCACTAGGTGCAGAATTCTATTTGGCGTTTGCTTTCAGTAGTGAAGGCCTTCTAGCTCTCTGTGTCACTCTTGAAAAGGCTGGAGTCTTCTGATTTCCAGTCTATTACAGGATGTTTTTTCCATCTCGGACTTTTGCTCTCTGTGTATCCCTAGTGTTCTGAAGTTTTGGTGATGTGTATTGAGCTGTATCCTTCCCACAAAAAAAAAACAGTGTTCTTTAGTTCTAGAATAGTCCGTTTTTTTGTTTTTTGTTTTTTTTTTCTGTTTTGAGGCAGGTTCTCATTCTAGCCCAGGCTGGCTTGGAACTCACTATGTAGCCCAAGTTGGCCTCAAACCTAATCGCAGTTATATTGCCTCAGTCTCCTGAGTGCTGAGTAGGCCCACCACACCTTGCTTTAATTTATTCCTGCTCACTTTCTTTCTAATGCTTTTTACATTGAAAAGTATTTTGTTGTGAGGGTTGGGGAAATGGCTTAGTCAGTCAAGCGTCTGCTATGTAAGCATGAGGGCCTGAGTTCAGATCCCCAGTTGTCCACATAAAGAGCTTATGTGGTGGCATGTGTCTCTAACCCCAATGAAGGCCGGCATATCCCGGGAGCTTGCTGGCCAGCCAGTCTAGCCAATCAGTAAGTTTCTACCTCAGTGAGAGATCCTATCTCAAAAAATAAGGTAGAGAGTGATAGGAGAAGATACCCAACAGATATCACAGATATCAACCCCTCCACACACACACACACACACACACACACACACACACATACACACCCAGCAAACTGGCTTCCAGGCCATATGTGGCCTGCCATCTGTCTAATTTATTTACATATATCTTTGGCTGTTTTCACATCTCAAAGGCAGAGTTGAGTAATTGCAGCAGAGACCTTATGGCCTGCAAAGCCTTGGCTGTGAGACTGAACATTGTTTTTGTTGCATTGCTCAGGGGTAAAAGCACTTGTCAGCAAGCCTGACAGCTTGAGATCGGTTCCCCAGTACCTGTGTATTAAAAAGCCAGACACGGTGGCACATGTCTGTAATCCCAGCACTCCTTCAGCAGGATGGGAACTAGGAATAGGAGAATCCCTCAGAAGATGTAGGCTAGTCTAGAGTACGCACTGCCGCATGAACAAGAGAGACCTGGTAAACAAAGTAAAGGCAAAAACCAACACCTGAAGTTGTTCTCTGACCTTCACACAGCACTGGGACATGCTCCCACACTCACCTACAAACACATACACATATATACACCATACACATATATACAAAATGTTAAGAAATAAATGTATTTTTAAAAATATTTTATTATTTTTATTTTATGTATATGAGTATATCGCCTGCATGTATGTGAGTGCACCCGTGTCGTCGTACAATGCCACGGAGGTCAGAAGAGGGCTTCGGATTCCCCTGGAACTGGAGTTAAGGACGGTTCATAGCCGCCATGTGGGTGCTGGGAATCAAACCCGGGTCCTCTGTAAGAGCAGTTAGTGCTCTTAACCGCTGAGCCATCTCTCCAGCCCTGAAATAAATGTATTTTTAAAAGCTAGCATATCAGCAATATAGTGAATAGATTGGGATTAAATGAAATGAATGCAAGTGAGTAGAAAAGGTTCCATATGACCAGAAAATATATATTAGCAGCTTCAAGACAGGAAGGTGAAGAAAAGCAGATTGATTTGAGATTTAGATGGAAATATGGTTTTTCCCTCTGTATTTTACTACATGGTAACTAGATTTATAGGCCTAAAGAGCAAGAACTATGTCTCTGCTCTTTGTGTATTCCACAGGACCTGGTGTCCATCAAGATTCAGTGTTGATCAAATGGTACTTATCATGTTAATGGTGATGAGGTTATTATGACTTAGAGTTCTTGCCATCTTCACTGTTTAATGTTTCACTAAAATCACATGATTTGATTGAGATTATTGACTGTAGTCAGAGAATTTGTTTATTGATTTTTAAAACATGTTTACATTATTGACCTCCATCTGGCATAAAAGATTTATGTATGCCATTAAAATTATGAAATCCAAACTTTTGTTAGATACAAGTGTTTGCTTATTTTACTCGTGTCTGCTTCTGAACTTTTTATATAGGCTTGCTCTTTGCTAATTTGTGTTAAAAAACAATTTTGAGAGAAGCAAGATCATGAACAAGTTATAGATTTTCCAGATTTGTCAGCATTAGATTATGTAAGAATTACCTCTTCACTTGAATATTGCCTTTTAAGGAAAAGTCTTAATGTACATGCAATCTAATTTTCCAGTCTTTTCAGTTTTATGTTTTTGGTGCATTATACAAAGGAATTCTCTCTATCCCAAGAAGATGATGAACAAGACTTTGTTTCAAATTATTTTATTAATCTTTTGCTTGCTTTTTTTCTTTTCTTCCCTCCCTCCCTCCCTCCCTCTCCTTTCAATCTTTCTTTCTGTTCTTTTTTTGGTCTTTTTGAGACAGGCTTTCCCTGTAGCCCCAGCTGCCCTGCAACTCACTATGTAGACCAGGCTGGCCTCAATCTCACAGAGCTCTGCCTGCCTCTGCCTCCCCAGTGCTGGGATTAAAGGTGTGCCATCATGCTTTGCTATTTTATTAATCTTTTTGTTGTTGTTTTGAGACAATGTCTCCCATAGTTCAGGCTGGTCTCAAACTTACTGTGGAACTGAGGATGGCCTTGAACTCTTGGCCCCTCTTGTCTCCCTCTAGTGGTGTGTGATTGCAGGTGCACACCACTATGCCAGACTACAGTGTCTGTGTGTGTGTATGTGTGTGTGTGTTTAGAAAAGTGATAAATGTTGCCTTTCTTTTAAATTAGGCTTTCTGATTTTTGCTATTCACTGTAGATATATACTTAATTTTCATAAATAGATAGATCTATAACCAATTACCTTTAAACTCTTATTTCTTTTTAAAATTTTTTTATTTTTATTTTATGTGTATGAGTGTATTGCCTGCATGTGAGTGCACTTGTGTAGTGCGGTGCCACGGAGGTCAGAAGAGGACTTCAGATTCCCCTAGAACTGGAGTTAAGGATGGTTCATAGCCGCCTTGTGGGTGCTGGGAATCGAACCTAGGTCTTCTGCAAGACCAGTTAATGCTCTTAAC